TTATATACCATTGGAAAGCTTATGAATTTATATGAATTTAGGATCAAGTTTCATTCAAATCCGAGTTAAAATGAGAGAGTTATGCTAGTTTAAAGATTCAAATTTGAATAATTGCGAAACAGTACTGTTCCTAACTCATTTATTTTTATTCCATAATTTACATTGACTGACCTGTGGGACCGGCCTGCCATGGACACAACATATATAAGTGAATTTTCATAGATTTTTAATCATAGTGACCCCACATGTCATAGACTAACTTACTTGAGATTAATATCTAATCACTGTGCGCTAATCAAGTAGGGCCCACATGTCATATCCTTCTCTCTCTCGTTCTTTCTCTATCGTCTTCTACCTCCAGACCGAGCGGGAGCAGCAGGGGCGGCGCAGCGCGCGCGGCAAGGCCGGCGGAGGGCGACCCGACGGCGACCAGGGGAGGGAGCGGCAAGGCTCCGGCGTCCACCTGCCGGCGGTCACGGCATAGGACGGCGCGGGGGCGAGCGGCGCTGCAAGGCCGCCATGGCCGGGCACGGGTAGCTAGGTGCTAGGGCGATACGGAGGGTTTCCGACCGAATTGGTGAGGGCGTCAGCATCTACGGCGTGTGAGGGTTCCATTTTGCTAGCTAGATGGAGAGGAGGGGCTCCGGGATGGCTTGTCCACAGCGAGCTCACCGGCGGCAAAACGGTGGCCGGACCGGCATGGCTACGGTTGCTAATTGGCGAAATTAAAGGGGGCTCTAGTTTCTACGGAACTAGGAGAGGACATAGGAGCGAGGACTTACCGAGGGATGGAGGAACGACGAAGCTCGGCGGCGTTGGTGGAGCGGAGAAGAAGCTGCCGGCATGCACACAAGGTGTTTGAGAAAATGCATACAAGGGAGAGGAGGCAGAGAGGGGTGGACGAGCTCGTGGGGGCTCTTGGGGCCTTGTGATGGCAGCCAACATGGTGTGGGGAGGAAGGGAGATGGGAGGGGGTATTTATAGGGTGTGGGAATGGTGGCTTAATGGTCGACGCGACGGAGGCGCACGGGGCTCGAGGACGACATGATGGCGCGCGGGGCTCGAGGGCGACATGATGGCGCGCGGGGCTCGAGGGCGACATGATGGCGCGCGGGGCTCGAGGACGACATGATGGCGCGCGGGGCTCGAGAGCGACGGCGACACGACTAGTGCGGGGCTCGGGGCGGCGCGGGGCTCGGTGCGATGATGGCGTCGGCGCAGCAGCTGGCGGCAGCGGCGCGGGGCTTGAGACAAGCAGTGACGCGACGGCGACACGCGGCGACGCGACGGTGACGGCGATGGCGCGACAGCGGCGTGGGGCTCGGCGCGGCGGGGGCGACGGCGACGTAGCAGCGGCGCGATGGGGTGGCGCGCGGTGCGGCAGCACACGGGGCGCGAGGGCGCGTAGGCGGCAGCGGCACGGCAGGCCGACGGCAATGGCGACAAAACGACGCGCGGTGGCGGTGGCAAAGCGAGGCGACGACGACGCGGCGCGGTGATGGCGACACGACAGCGACGGCGCCGATGCAGTCGGGGCTCAAGGCCGGCTAGGGCGGCGCAGCAGTGGGGAGAAAGAGAGCTGGGATGGCTAAAAACCAAATCGAACACCTAGGGGCTAATGAACAGTGCTAGCCAATAATTTTTGATTTTAGAGGGTACTTTACAATTAGGAAAAATATACTGTTGCTACTAATTTTGTCACAATGTAAAAATACACCACGTCTAAGTTATTTCATCGAAATTTATATTCAAATTAATATTGTCCAAATTTAAGTTTTATTAAAGATTCTATAATTTCCTAATGAGACCGTTATTAACACATTAGCACATTAGCTCAATTTATTTATATGTTAGTTTATTTTATATGGAGGGGTTTAATATATTAAATTTCAATCCCTAAATGCAATTAGGAACTTGGTGCAATATCGATCTACATATCGAATTAAATACTCCCATAATTCTATTATATATACAGAGAGCTCAGTTTATTTGAATGATCATCATTCCATGTGTACTCATATTATGGCACCCACCTTTATTATTCAAATATTTTAATATTTGATAAAATAGGTTAATAATAACTTTTCTTTTATTTGATTTTAATATCTTGTGCATAATTATTTGTAGGATTAAATATATTCTCGTAAATTATATCTATTGCTTAAATTTAGATCTTTTCTTTACTTTCTTTGTGATCTTTTACGGTTTGGCAAGCAATAGCAATCATAACAACCAGCATGATGCAAAAGTTTTAAAAAGTTCAAAATTTTAGTGATTTTTATTGTCAGGAATTTTCAGGATGTTACACTGTAGGATTCAAAAATAAATCCCTAAGATTTGTTAATGTCATCATGAGTAAAATTTTTACTCCCACTACAACTTTTACTTATGGTTAAATCTGGGTAAAATTAGTTCCCATGGTCATGCAAACAAATCTCAAACGTCCACTGTAGTTTTTTGTTTGCACTATATATATTTTTTTAGTGTGCAAAGCTTTGGTAAGAACCAACTAGAAGTACAAACTTTCTACGTGCAAAGTTTCGACAAAAATCACAAGAATTTGAATGACAACTAAAAAACCAAAACCCCATGTGTGTGCAAAGTTTTGTCAATATTCACTAGGAACTTGAATGAAAACTTAAGGAATAAGATCACTTTGACTCCCTCAATTGACCACCGAATCTAAATCGTATCCCTCAACTGCAATACCAGAAATCTTGACCCCGAACTGTCAAAACAGGTACAATTTGACTCCCTTAGTGGTTTTAGAGGGCGGTTTTGCTGACGTGGTGCACATGTGGCAGTGTTGACTTGGTCTTCGTTCCACGTGGCATTGACGTGGCGCTTATGTGGCATTAAAATAAAAAATATATGCGGGACCCATTTGTCATTCACACAAAAAAAAATTGTGGGTCCCACTGACATGTGGGTCCCACTGACATGTGGGTCCCACATGTCATCCTCTCTTTATCCCTTCTTCCTCCTCCCTCTCCTCCCTTCTCTATCTCTCCCTCTTTCTCTTCGTGCGTAGGGATGGGCGTCCGGATTGGCGACGGCAACAGCGAGCGATGGACGGAGCAGCAGCGGCGGGTGGGATGGCGGGTGGACAGTCGCTGGAGTTGTGGACCACGAGACGGTGGCTTGTCGGGCGGGCGGGCGATGGACGGAGCGGCGGCGGCGGTGGTGGCTTGTCACCGTGGACCACGATGGTGGTGGTGTCGTCGACGGTGTCGCGCAGCCATGCACGAGGAGCTCAGGAGGGCAAGGCGACTCCGCAGCGTAGCACTGAGCTCCATCAGCCCAGATCCAGAGCTCCGAATTGGCCACGACGGGCGGCCAGAGGACGAGCTATGGCAGCAGGGCGGCGGCGGTGGCCTGACGTGGTCGCAGCGGCGGAGACAGTGATGGCTCGGTGGAAGGCGTCGCCGGAGACCACTCCTCGCTTCGCGCCGCCGCCTCGAGGCCGAGACGTGCCCGCCACCGCCGCCACTCCAACACCCGCAAGGAGGAGCTGCTCCCGCGCCTGTCGCCCGAGGTCTACCGCCCACCGCCGCCACCACTCCGGCACCCGCCCGCTGCCGCCTCCACTCGAGCCCCCGCCTGCCACCGGCTCATGTCAAGGGGGGAGAGAGAGAGAGAAATAAGGAAGAGAGGAGGAAGAAGGGTAGTGAGAGAGAGGTACATGTGGGACCCACATATCAGTGGGGCCCAAATTTTTTTTTGTGTGAATGAAAAATGGGCCCCGTATATATTTTTAATTTTAATGCCACATAAGCGCCACGTTAATGGCATGTGGGACGAAGACCAAGTTAATACTGCCACGTGTACGCCACGTCAGCGAAATCGCCCTCTAAAACCACTAAGGGAGTCAAATTGTATCGGTTTTGATAGTTCGGGGTCAAGATTTCTGGTACTGCGGTTGAGGGATACGATTTAGATTCGGTGGTCAGTTGAGGGAGTCAAAGTGATCTTATTCCAAAACTTAACAAAAGTCCATAAGCCCAAGTGTGGCCCATTTACTGATTTACAGCAGAAGCCTCTGGGGCGCAAATTGACCCAGCTATGCACCAACAAGGAAATTATTGTGTCGCGCCCTCTGTCCCTAAGACTTAGGCCCTTCTGAAATGCATGAAATTTTAAATATAGATAGAGAAAAAACATGTATTCTCAATTTCTACAGGAAGACAAACCATAAGAAAACGTCAAAATAGGTGTTTAATTGCAATGTTGGAAAAACATAGGATAGGATTGCAAGAGACTAAAGGATCGAAAAAAGAAGCTATCACTTATTGGTTATTTTTCTTCAAAATTACTATAGGATTGCAGTTCCATAAAAATTTCAGAAGAAATGATGTGACTCAATCCTTTCATAGGACCTTTTTTTTATAAGATTATAGTCCTCCAAATTTCTTAATCCTTCGTCTCAAAGAGCCAACACCTTAATTTTATATTAAGCGTAGGGTAGGGTTCATTGGCTCTCTTTATTACCCTTGTTTTCTCTAATCGTTAGATGCAAACATCACCAATTAAAGTTTGAATATACCAGTCTAGCCAACCATTAATTCCTAAAAAAAAGAATGCAATCATAAAGGGCATATATTTGCCGTTTAATATCTTTACTAATCTGTCTTAGACTGTACTATACATTTTCAACTTCTACTCTCCCATTTTCTGCGCACACGTTTCCTGACGTACTACAATATTTTTTGAAAATAAATTATAGAAAAGTTGCTTTAAAACATTATATTCATTCATTTTCAAGTTTTTTTTGCTACTACTCCTTCAGTCCCCAAATATATATATATATATAATCAGATGGGATATATTCTAAGACTATGAATCTATATATGCCCCTGTCTAAATTCATAGCTAGCATTTATCCTATTTAATCGTAAGTTTCTATGTTTTAAAAAGTAGGTAGTATGATCTGGTGTTCCGTTTCATGTGCCGGCAAGGGATCTCAAACCCACCCACCTCCAAAACGAACACAGAGAACACAGTACACAGGAAGGTAATCCATGTTCCGAATCTGATCCTCTGCGTCAAATGCAATAAAGATCCCATGCTGGACACATCACGTCAGCAATGGCATTTTCACTATAATCTTGTTGTGCATCTGTCATTTGTTACAAGTAAGACATGAAAGAAACAACATAGGTGGTGTTTGGGACACCACCATACTCCATCCATCCCAAAAAAACACTTAATCTTGGTGTGGATGGGACATCACCTAGGACAACGAATTTGTGATATCCCATCCAAGTTAAGGTTGTTTTTTTTTTTTTTTTGGATAGAGTGAGTATCTCTGTAACAGTCATTTAGTCAACTCGTACGTAAGGTAATACAAATCAAGAAGGGATCTTTGTTAATGCCAGAAATAAAACCATCCACATTTTAGTTATTACTATCCTCCTTTAGTGAGCTTCTAACAAAAATGCTGCAAAGCTACAACAAAGATTCAAATGGGGTACACATGAACATTATCATACTGTTTTAGTTTTTTTTAGTTCTTGAGATGTGAAGTAGTCTCACCCTAGCAAAATTACTCTGATTTGCTTGAGAAAATGTGTATAACAGACGGAGTTACAGGTTGGATGAGCGATTGGCGTATTCCTCAACCATTGCACCAAACAGGGATGGCTGCTCAATCAATCTTGAGGGTGAATCAAATTCTTTTACCAGACCTGAACATAAATACTTTGATTTTAGGATAGCATTCTGTGAGCTAAAACTAGCAATAGAAATACAGTGCTTTCCCTCATCTAATAGAGAGAGAAACAAATTTCAATAATGAAGAGCATTTTAAACAAAGCTATGTGCATTTTTTAGCAATATAGCGAAAAGGACTGAAAGACCTACCTGCATCCAGCACCAGAACTCTATCACAATCCATGACTGTTGGTATTCTGTGTGCAATGCTAATTATTGTACATGAAGAAAATTCTTGTCGTGTGATCTTCTGTATCGTGGCATCAGTTTGAGAATCAACTGAAGCAGTTGCCTCATCCATAAATAATATTCGAGTCCGCTTCAATATGACGCGGCCAAGACAAAGAAGCTGCCTTTGGCCTACACTCCAGTTCTCCCCACTATCAGCCACTGTGAAGAATCAAGAAAAAATGGCCGGTAAATTCAATAAATTTGAGTTCCAAATTTTGATAGATGTAGATTCGTTTAACAATGTCTATGTTCATTTCACATCAAATATGGCAAGAATCACCTGGATTTAATATTTAGTTTCGACATGGAACTGCATGCGTTTTTTCTTTTACATTGTACAAAAAGTTGTGCATACTTCTAGTTATTTGAACATTCTAATGTATTTAATCAGTTCAATATTTTGGAATACTTTGGTACTTGGATTTTGTAAATGATCAACGAGCCAACTTCTTCAGACATATTAACTTCTGGAATACTCTGTCCTCATTATACAGGGAATGTACGTTTGGACATGATCTTCAGCTCATGTTTCATCATTAATTTCTCATATAATACATTGTTAATAGCTACAAAACCAGTACGGTGTGAAAGCTCTTTGAATATGAGTCGTGTTATAAATTTTCATACATTAAAGTATTAAACATCTCACAATTTGACGAACTGTTGGTCAAATCTACAATGTTTGGATTTTTTTTAAAAAGCATGCGCGCACTATATTCAGACTGGAAAATGAAGCAGCAAATTCAAGTAATTAAGACTAAGCAGTAAATGCAACTTAAAGTCAACATAGATACAGCAGAAGCATATAAGTAGCAAACCTAGAGCATCAAGTTTTTGAGGTTTTGAAGCAACTACATCTTTCAGTTGGCAGCCCTCCAGAGCCTGCGAAATTGAAGTAAAATTCCCACAGGTAATTAACACAATACAAGTACACATTCATAAGGGATTAAGGGGAAGGCTGAATGAAACATTATAGTTACACCATACCCGCCATATCTCAGCATCTGAATACTGCCCAATTGGATCAATGTTGCTTCGAATTGTTCCTTCAAAGAGAACTGGTTCTTGGGGAATAATGCCAAAGCGGGACCTCAGATCATGCAGACCCAATGTGCATATGTCTATTCCATCAATGATCATTGTCCCCTGCACAGGCTCTACAAGTCTGAACAATGCTTGGATCAAAGTTGATTTTCCACTGCCTGTTCTTCCAACAACTCCTATCTTTTCACCACCACTAATGCTTACAGTTATGCCTTTCAAAATTAGAGGTGTATTCGGTCGGTACCTAACCTGAAAGGATAAAAATGCTATGCTCAAATATTTTTTTTTGACTGGGAATACTGCTAGGGCTTTGCCCAGCAGTGTAAATTTTATAAAACGCAAAAAGCATTTACAAAGTTACAGAGAAAGAACTAAAGGAAAAAAGCAACAAAGCTACAAGGTTTGAATTCTCCGCTTTATAGGATGGATGTAATGGAGCGGAATCCCTGTACAAATCAAAATAATAATAGTATAAGACCATGCAGTTTAAGTACTTAACCTTCTTACCTTTAAATCATCGATGTCAATATCACCATGAGTGGGCCAATTTGGAGAAGGAAGATGGTCTTCTATCTTCCACACTGCCTCAGAAGGAAGGGTACTGAACTGATTAACCCTCTCCACAGCAACCATATCATTTTCCAACATACAGCTAATGGATATTGCAAAATACACTAGAGAATTGAGGGAGAGGCCATATGAAAGAGACATGCCAACAAATTCTGCAAAAGCATAGTGAACATTAGTTCATCCAGCCTATGCTAATGATCATAAATCTTGACAGAATAAAATTTACTAAGCATAAGAATTGAAAAAATATTTTTGTCAGATGATTAAGATGCAAGGAGTAAAAGGACAAACAACCATGTTATATCTTCGACCTACTTACTAACATTGAGACAAATAAAAAGAGAAGGAATTAGCTACACCGCTTTAAATATATAATGCATTAAAGTATTCCTAAATGAGTCGGTTTTTTCATGAGACTGCTATGACTACCAGTCTCGGTTCATGCTAAGAAAAATGATCAAATCTATCATATATTGGTACCTTTCTTGATAAAATTGCTAGGCAGACTAATCATAAGGAAAGCAGTTATTGCCAATACGAGTGTCCCAATCAACTCCAGACGGAACCCAAGCCATTCATTTGCTGCATAATTGTGGAAGTACATGCGCAAACTTGAATTGATTCTGTCCAAATTTTCTTGGAAAAATTCTTTGTCCTTCTTGAAGCATCTGATGGTTGTAGCACCTAGAACAGTCTCTGAAAAGTGATCAATTACTGGTGCCTTTGTTACTCCTTCAAGTCTAGTTAGCTCCCGAGAAGTTGCAAGATAGCGATTCTGCACATATATAAGGAAACAATTGAGTGTCTCAATGAATATAATAATTTTTTTGGAGCAGAATTAGCAACAGTATCTGAGGCAAATTGCTATAGTAGGAGCATACCCTGTACCAAATGTTCAATAGTACAAGTGGAATTACAGCTATAACCGATGGCCAGGCAACCTGACAAGTAACAATTATGGTACTTAATACTGAAATGTACATTGAAATTGTCAGACCAACAAAAAAGGACAGCACAATATCAATGGTTGTTTGGTCCGATGATGCCTGAAAAGTACAAGAGGAAGTATTTCATCAGTAGAGGATAAAAGAAATGTGGCGACAATCTCTCCAGTATTCAGAAAAGAGAAAGAAAAAACTAAACTTGATCTATACTTTTTATAAATGTGAAGAGTACAAGCAGTGCCAGTTTACAAGACCAAACTATTTCATACTGAAAAGGGTGTAAGCATTGTTCATGCCAATTTAATTTAATAGTAAAATTAGGTTTGCAGATGAAGAAATAATCAATTCCAATAAGTTATCAATAGTACTGATGAAGTTTGAGCAAATCGCAAGTTAACGTTATCAGCAAATGAACCATAAGTAGAGAATTACCCGACTGAGAATCCTCCCTGAAGGTGTGGTATCAAAAAATGACATCGGGGCATGCAAAATACTGTCAAACATCTTCTTGAAAAAGATCTGAGCAGTCTGAAGTCCCAATATTGTCTCAAGAAGACTCTTGATTACTTGAAGGATAATTGAAACAGCAGCTATAGCAACATACACTCCAATAAATAGAGATGGATTAAATGGAATGCTGCCTGATGTTTCATATGACAGCCAATAGTCACTAGCCATTTCAGTAACTTGCCATACAATTGCAAAAGCAAGCATGCCGACAACCCCCCACCAACCCCAAGCCTCTGTCATATATAACTTGTACACACGCCAACTTACTTGACCACTTTCTCTTTCCTCTTCTCGTATAATTTTAGAAGTAGCTGCTTCTATATCAGGTGCAACAAGTACCTTCTCACCCTTTCCAATGGATCTAGAGCGAAGAGAAGGAATTCTGGCTACCGCCTTAGGCTGAGAATATTCAGTTTTGACAACTTGTCGACTTTGATCCACCAGTTCCATTGAACTATCATGAGCAGCAACAAGAGCTAAGAAATCTGAGCCAGCATCTAGTAACTCATCATATTTCCCTGACTGCACAATCATGCCATCTCTCATGACCTGCACAATCACATGGAAAAAATGATTAAAAATCAAGTCAAGGACAAAAGTGTATGTTCTACTCCCTCTGCCCTGTAATATGAGGGGTTTGACCCCTTAAATTTGTCCCAGAATATAAGGGATTGTGATCCCAAGACAATACTTTATTCCCCACCTACCCACTTTTGTACTAGTTTATTCCTCCACCCACCCACTTTGTACTAGTTTATTCCTTGCCCATTAAGTTTTGTACTAGTTTATTCTTTCAACTACCACCTTTTGTACAATCACTCATACTATCGTTACTTCCTTAATCTTTGTAAAAAAAAAAGGCATAATCCCTTATATTATGGAACGGATCTTTCCACGAGAAGAGAGGAGCGAAACTACCTCCAACTGTTGCTTACAATTCTCTTCTAGAAGGAAGCTCCAATAACATGATTACATGATGAAAAGCATGTTAACATCAGAAATTCATTGGGGAATCCTTTCAATGGTTGATTATGTCCTTTTTAGATTATAGGGGACAGATTATGTGGGGATTATTTGTACCGTGCTTCCAAAACTAGGATATCTCGAAGAATTTTCTACATTACATTGCTTAGATCACTTGTTCTAAACAATGTTAGCTTTATAATATAGAATATTTAATTCATACGTATTTTTGGACCAAACAGTTTCAAGTATATAAAAAGAATATGAGTATATATGCCATAGTTTTTAGAGATTTTTCAAGATAATAATTTAAAATTTACTTGCTTGTTGAAACATGGTACAAGAGTATGCTGAAAATAATCATGCTAGAAGACTTACAAATATGTTATCCACATTATGCAAGAAATCCACTTGGTGAGTTACAAGTAAGATGGTCTTTCCTTTGAGCATGCCTCTCAGACATTCCTGCAGGAGAAAGTTCATTGTTGTGATACCATGCAAATATGTTAGCATAACAGAAAAATACTTAGTTCATCCTCGATATATAGTTATCCCAAGAAGAAACAAATATATTTATTTAACATATAATTCTAGCCTCCTATGTACATCATAGCAACTTTTTTATGGGCATCATAGAAACTTTTAAATCTATTTATTTCTTCTTTAGGATAACATAAAAATATTCTCACAAATAGACTGAATTAATTTAACTCACCACAACAGTAGTAAATATAAATATTTGTCCATTTCTTATATGTTACTATATTGACATGCACTTGATAGTGCAGTGGCAAGGGGTGTGTGATTTCAACCCAAGGTCCCGTGTTCAATCCCCAACACTCTCACCATTTCATCTTAAAAAAAATGTTTGGAGGGACATCTCTCCCTCCAAATCTTTTTTTTTAATGTTATATCCTATTTTCATTTTTTTTCATTAATCTCCTACAGGTAACGGTCCTTTATTCCATATACACACTCATCTATTTTCTCAATTTAAGAAGGATTGAGTTTGCTCCATAACAACTGATAATCATTCTTCATCCTTCAAACAATACCAAATGCAGTAAGGTAGGGCATGCATGCATCCACGCAGCGAAAATCATCAAATTATCAGTTGCATGTATCAAATGGCATGTGAAGCTAGCTGAGTGAAATTTTACCTTAAAAATGCTTGAGCCAGTATGTGCATCAACTGCACTGAAGACATCGTCAAGGAGATATATATCACAATTTTGATAAACTGCCCTGGCAAGCTGAATACGTTGTTTTTGTCCACCACTGAGATTGATCCCTCGCTCTCCAATCTCTGTCTGGTCACCAAATTCCATCATTTCCAAATCCTTTTCCAGGCTGCAAGACCGCAGAACTTCTTTATATCTTTCAGCATCCATTGGCTGCCCAAATAAGATGTTCTCTTGAATTGTGCCATTTTGAATCCAAGCAGTCTGTGCAACATATGCAGTGCTCCCGCATATCCTAACCTGTGGAGAATGCAAAAAAGGATAAAGAAAACAAAAGGACGGTGAAAACTATAGAGCAGCTTGTAGTCCAGGTATTTATTTAGACAATACTATCTATCTATCTTCTATTATATACTAAAAGTTCATGAAACTTCCTACAAACGCTCCTAAAGCCGCCACTTGGCGCTCTAATAAATTAGAGAAATCAAAGAAATTCTGAGAAAAAAAGCAAAACATTCTATCCTTGATTTTCACTTAATAGAGTGGACCCATTATTTTCCACCGTTAGATTTAAAAATATTCCACCATACCCTGGCGTATCCAAGGGGTGGTCCGGGTGGTCCCCGGTCCACCCAAAAAATCGCCAGCCCAAAACCTATTTACGGTGAAAAAAGAAGATAAGAAAACTCCTGTGCGTAAGTTGGTCAATTGGTTCGTCTACAGATAGGAGTCCCTCACCCGTTTGCGTTGTTTCCTCTCCCTCACGCGATCGCACGCTTGCATCTTGCGGCTGCTGGCCAGGGATCCTGGTGAATGGCGACGGCGGAGTTGTGGACTGCAAGGGCGAAGCCCATGCATGCATATGGTCTCCGCGGCGGACGGCAAGGGTGCCAGGACGCTAGAGTTTGCATGCTGCAGGTCAGGTCCATTAGGAGATTAACTAGCTGATTAGGTTTCTTTCTTTTTTACCGTTCTCACCTTACCATGAATGCAATGTGTATTGCAGATTAAATATGAAGAAAGATGGACATAAGTATGTATCTCTTTTAAAAAACATAGAGCAAATAAGATGAAGATCGCTTTCCAATCACCTTCTTCCTTGGTTGTGGCAGAAGAACAATCTCTTTTAAGTCGGATTTTGTGACTAATATTTCGTGATGAACTTTTCTAAATTATATACTGGCAAGTTCTATATCTACTGTATTTAAAAATATTATATAAATTGGACCACCCATACCTAAAATCCTAGATACGCCAACCCCCCCCCCCCACCTCCCAGGCATCCTCTCCCCCTTATGTACATATACGTAATGTACGTACGTAAATTTGTCCGTCCGTCCCTCCATCTCATATCTTCTATCATTCTTTTCATCTTTAAATTTTCTACTTAGCAAAATTTAATACGAAAATAAAATCAAACATTAGATAACTAGATGATTATAATCTATATATTATATTATATACTAAAAGTAAAACACTCTTACACCATCACGTGAGGCTCAATGAAAATCAGACAAATCCTAAAAATCTATCTATCTGTTATTATATACTAAAAGTATATTAAACTTCCTAAAAACGCTCTCAAGCCATCACGTGGGACTCCGATAGACGTTCCTAAGTCGCCACATGGCAATCTAATAAGTCGTTCATAAACACAAATAACTAAATTAGGTGTACAATCTCATGGAACAAAATAAAAACTACATCCTCGTGACTTTTCTTTAAGTAAAAAAAATATGTATACTGCAATATGAAAAAACATAAATTAAAAGACACCAATAATATACACCCTACATATAATTAAAAACATATGACTAATATATGTGGCATATAATCTATGTATTTATTGGTCTATTAAAGCATATACTCAATAAGACAAATTCTTGAAAATTTTCCTTATGAAGGCACAACATTCTACGTGTAATTTATCATTAGTCAAGTGGTCATGTTATTCGTAGCTATCGAATTATTTCTACATTATAAATTATAAATAAGCATTTAGATTAAAAACAATAATCCAAGTGTGTTAACAAATTGGAAAAATACATCAAGTTATATTTCACAAGTAGTAAAGAACCATCATAAGGTATTTACGGTTATAGCCAACGAGGAAGAAAAAAAAAAGGCTATGGTACCCCTTATTAGTTAAAAGAAACATAGAGAGTGGGAAGAAGGTTAGGGTAAGATTGGGTAAACAAGAAATAATAGTTGTTTGGATATGACAAGTAGTACTACTCTAAAATCCCTTATATTTTGAAACAAAATTTAACTTTCTCGGATTTATGCGACGAAGTATAATCCATCTAGCTTTAATTATATGACATAGTTCTATTAGCTATATGTTTAATAGACAATCTTAAATTAATTTATCCTAAAATCCAGAAAGACATAGATAGTATAAAAGCAATTATTACTTAAAGTATAGAAATACCCATAGTACAAAATATAGAAAGTTTCATAGAAATTCAGAACTGCACGCTTTCACACAATTTTAGTTAACAAATTTTTATGTTGCAAGGGAAACTAGAAGAAAATCATAACCAACATTCATAGAAATCCCAAATAAATTTGAATAGAGTATAAAAGATATTTCAATAAAAAAACCAACTACACATAAACATGTTTATAAGAAAATTTCAAGCACATTAAACAAGATGCCCGCGCATGTGCGCGGGCTACCTTCCTAGTTCTTTCAAAAAGCCAACACAAGTTGTCTAAAGTTCATGATCTTCACAAGAAAACTACTCTTTTAAGAATTCATGGTGGGGTCAAAGCTGAAAAGCAGCATATCACTCAAGGTTTAGTACAGTCAACAGTCAACACATTGTTCACAGAAGTCCACAGTTTGCCAAAGCTGTAGACTGACAATAGAATCAACCTTCGATATTTTATCAAGCATTAAACAGGCATAGTCTAGGTCAAACCAACAGAGGCGTTGTGTCAAACATCTGGTGTGCATTGTTACTATGTAAAATATGAAAGCGTACCTAAAATGTTGGTTTTCCAACTACCTTGCATTCTCCTTGAATGCTAGTCCCCATCCATTTTACAACAGTTGTTAATAATACAAGCAGACAAGCAGATTACCACTACCTTTTTTGGTTCTTCCAGAATCCCCAACCCAAACAAATGGCAAATACCACAAATAAAAAATGGACTCAACCTTCTCTAGGTATCAATTTGCTCAAATGGAACATATGGTCTTGCACTGTGGGTGCACCCACCTACCCCTGATTTGAGCCGTTCAGACGGAAATGTCTAATGTCAATGTGATATAATCATCTAGACCAACAAATGCCATCACAATTAATCTTGAGTGAATTCGCATTCACCTGACTAACTAACCCCTGATTTGGACTGATCAATCCAAAATTATACAAAATTTGTGCTACTGTTAAAAGCTATTTTCGCCGGGCCGGAGAAACTATTAAAAACTTTGACTGCTCATAAAAATGCTTGGTTTGAAGATAACTGACAAGAATCACAGACATACCTTCCCGGAGACCTTGTCCATCTCCCCCATGATACATGACAGCAGCGACGATTTGCCGGAGCCAACCGTCCCGACCACCGCTGCAAGCTCACCCCTCCTTACCTCAATGTTAATCCCCTTCAGCACTGTCTCCAGAACAGGCGTCTCCTCGACATCTTTCTCCTCCTCCTCCTCCTCACCTTCTTCATCATCCTCGTTGTCGTCGCCCTCTTCATTCTCCTTCTTGCCCCTCACGTCCCATGCAAACACGCCATCGCGCACTTCCACGACCACACCATCAGGGTTAATCCCAGCGTCATCAACACGCTCCACCGTGGTATCATCAAGCTCCACGTCGAGCAGATACCTGTCAAGCCTCCCCAGTGACACGGTCGCCTGCGTCACGGAGGCAATCGCCTCGGGGAAGCTCTGCATTGGTCCATCCAGCATGTGGAAGAAGGCGGTGGCCGTGAACACCTTGCCGGCGTCGAGCGTGACGCCGGTCAGCACACAGGTGCCGAACACGAGCACGGTCATGGCGAGCGGGCCGCTCCAGAGCACGACGGTGTTGGCGCACATGAAGTACATGGACTTGGCAAGCCACCCGAGCTCAGCCTCCCTGAGCTCGTGGATCTTGCCGCCGAACGTCTCCTCCCACCCCTGCAGCTTGATCACGCGCATGTAGTTGAGCAGCTCGGTGATGGCCTTCATGCGCTCGTCGCGCTTGCCGAGGAACTTGAACTGGTACTCCAGGTTGCGGCGGTTGGCGAGCGCCACGACCACGGTCACCACGGCGATCGCGGCGACCGCGGTGAGCACGGCGGGGCCGAGGTGGGTGTACAGCAGGGTGAGAGCCACGGCGATCTCCAGCGGCATCAGCCACAGGTTGTGGAGCTCGTGCGTGACGTTGGCCACCTCCTCGGCGTCCACCTCCATGTAGTTCACGATCGCGCCGGCGCCGTGCGCGCGCCGCGCGCCCGTGGACAGCCGCAGCGACTTGCGGTACACCGCGGCGAGCAGCGCGGCGTGGATGCGCATCCCGAGCTTCTGCCCCTGGAACTCGTAGTGGTGCGAGGCCAGCGCCTCCGCCGCCTTGCCGGCGAGGAGGACGACGACCAGCTGAAGCCCTTCCGTCAACTCCCCGCCGCGGCGGACGAAATTCACGAACCTGTCGACGAGGGAAGGGCCGATATACATGACCGAGAGGTGCGCCAGGCCGAGCATGGCGGTGAGCAAGAACTGCGGCCAGAACGACCGGAGAAGTGCGGTGACCACGGGATGCCCGGCCTTAGTCCCCGGCGCCGGCGGCGCGGCCCAGTTTGACACGAACAGCGCGTAAGTCGCCTCGGCGGTATCATCTGGCGCCACGGGCGGGACATCGTCCGCGGCGAGAGCCGCCCTGGAGCCCTTGGAGATGAGCGGGTTGATCCAGCTGAACGTCGCGAGCGACAACCACGACGCCGTCGAGTACGACGCCGCCGCCGCGGCGTGACCCGGAACACAGCTTCGGTCTTCCCCGTCGGGAATCGCCGCACCACCGAGGCCGGTGGAGCCGGTGACGGAGAAGTAGAGAAGAGGGAGCGACATCACCAGCCCAGCGAACGCGACGGCATCGTCGGGGAGGATGGGCTCGCGAGCCGCGTAGCGCGCAGCCGCGGAGCCGGAGAAGAGCGCCGCGAGAGCCGCAGTCCCAGCCCAGAAGAGACGGAGGTGCGCCGGGTGAGAACGCGCCGCGGCCGCCTTCTCCGCCACGACGACCCCCACAGCGGCGAGGTGCGCCACGAACTGCGCCACGAGGAACGCGCACTCCGCGGCGAGCCATGCGGTCCTCGGGAGCAGCACGACCGCGAGCACGAGCAGCACGAGCGACGCGGCCGCGAAACACACGGACGCCGCGAGCGCGAGCGCGTGCCGCAACCCCCCGCGCGGGGGCGGCGGGGGCACCGCAGCCACCACAGACGGCTTCGCGAGCAGGGGCTCCTCCTCCGCGTGGTCCCCGTTGCCGTTCGCGATACCCTCACGCCGGGACCGCGACAAGCGAGCGCGGACGGCGACGAACACCACCGCGAGGAGGAAGGCGAGGTCGACGGCGCCGCCGAGGACCACGCGCTGCGGGCATGGGGAGAGGAAGAGGAAGGCGAGGCGGTCGGAGAGGGAGAAGGAGGAGGAAGACGGCGGAGGCGGGGAGCACGCGGTGGTGGACAGCCACCACGGGAGCGAGGTGGCCGGCATCGGCATGGCCGGTGAGTGGTGGCGCGGTGTGGCGCGGCGGCCGGAGAGCGTTACATCTGGGTGTCGGGTGGTCGGCGTTGCAGCGGGGAGGACGCGTGGCGGTTTTGATGGGGAGCGGAGCGGAGCAGAGCAGAGAGCAGGGGAGAAGAGAGGTGAAGCCAGGAAGGGGAGAAACGTTGACCGAGTCGTTGAAAAGGAGTGCTACAGGAAATTTATCTAATTTGCTGGAAAACATTATAAAAACATCTCATTGCTGAATACACTTTAAAAAATTGATAATTTGTTAAAGAATACTTTCGACTGAATTATTGAGAGAAATTCTAATAAAAATGAGAATCACCCTAGAGTCAAAAGTTATTGTGGTAAGGTGGAGTGAAATGAAATATAATGTAGGTTAATGATGAAATTAAGAGTTGCATAATTTCTAAAATTTTATTCTAATAATGTCATGTTTGAAGCATGTGGTCTTATGGTATTCTCGTCTTTCTTAATATTTTATCTCTTCAATTGAGCTGAAGGTATCTTCTAGAAAATTAAAGGGTTTTAGGATGTATTTTAGCCGTGATATGTTTATTCGACGTCTATCAACAAATTACACAAAATTTGTGTCCTTTCGAAAAATTTGTCAAAATAAAAAGTTCGAATTTATTTCTTTTTCCTACCGCTTCGGATACAGCAGGTTTGGCCCGGGATCTAGGGGGCTGTTTAGATTGAGGTTTATTTTTACTACAATCTGAACATGTCCTATATTACTTTCACTTACAGGGTGGGTCCCACGTGCCAGTCACTAGAAAATGTTTAGTGTGAACAGCCTGACCAGGTGGGGCTGACCAATACTCGGGCCCACTTGGTCGTGGGCTTGCGTAGTGTGGCTTCGTGCCAACCAAGGAGACGCGGCGTCATGGAATTTTCCCGTGATCGCCTGGGCTGCGACGGCCGTCGTCGTGGATTTCTTTCAAAAACGTGGACATTTGTAATATTTATTACTACGCAAATAAGATATTCTGTCCCAATCTATGTCGCAAGCAACGTCATATTATATACTCCTACGTTGGTCCTGTTTGGATCCGAAAGGCTATTAAATAGCCCTCCAGAATCTTGTTATTTAGGAGTATTAAACGTAGATTACTGACAAAACCCATTCTATAACCCCTATGCTATTTTGCGAGACGAATCTAACGAGGTATGTTAATCCATGATTTGCTACAGTGATGCTACAGTAATCAGCCGTTAATCATGGATTAATATACATCATTAGATTCGTCTCGCAAAATAGCCTAGAGATTATGGAATCGGTTTTGTCGGTAATCTACGTTTAATACTCCTAAATAGTAAGATTCCGGAGGGCTGTTTAATAGCTCGGAGGATCCAAACAAGGCCGTTGTACCACTCTTCCTATATTCTTTCCCAATGAAATCTGTTGGAATATTTATTATCACCAACGTCTTGAAACGTACGTATAGCTTGTTTTAAAATGAAGCTATTTCTTCACATATCCTCTCTACTCAACCAATCATAACTATTTTCTATTTAATGTATTCACATTTTTTTCTCAACCAATCACAATATTTCTCTAATTAATTTCACCTATTTTCCTAATACTAATATTTACTTTAAAAATGTTTATATTTTGGGATGGAGAAAGTACGGAAATAAGAAGTAGTACACGATATACTAGAGATCAAATCCTTTCCGTGTAGGTCTTCGGCAATTCCTTAACCTCATGGAGATATTTTCCATAACTTGAGACAAATTCCTAACGGCGTATACGGAAACCAATCCGTATATGTGAAGGTATACCTTATCGGTATATTCTATAAGTCGTAGGATAGAGGGTATGCCTTATCCGTAACGATACATAGGATTCTAGTGTCAATAAAGTGAGTGCATAATGACAGATCATCAAATCCTTATACCTTCCGTCCAGATTCGTTGCCACATCCCTCTAAAATTTCTTATATTATGGAATTGTGGCAAATCATCTAATAAAAAATAATTCGGCACTTACTCACCAAATATTCCCCCACGTATTCAAGCCCGGGTCATTGGCAGGTATTCAAACCGATCTGGTGAGCTCATTAAGAAAAGTGACTAATTCGGTCAACATACAGATCGGTGAGAAGTAAACAAAGTGATGGCTACTAGGTATATAATCTCTTAAGTGGCGTCTACTAAGTACAACAAAAGTAATGGCTACAAAGTGACCAAATGTGATATTTTTTCGTTTCATATTATAATACTTTCTAACATTGCTTATATAAATATAGATATTAATAAATCTAGGCACATCTATATGAATGTGGGCAATGCTAGAAAGTCTAAGGGCCCCTTTGAACCGTAGGAATGAAAAAACGGAGGAATAGGAAAAACATAGGATTCTGGCAAGAATGTAAGTGTAAAACAGAGGATTGCGAAACACAGGAAAAACACAGGAATAATCGTTTGATTGAACCACAGGAAAAATACAGGAATCGGATGAGAGAGATAGACTCAAAGGATTTTTACCAAGAGGTTGGACCTCTTGCTAAGTTTCCTCCAAAATCTATAGGCAATAAGCCATTCCATAGGAATTTTATAGGAATAGGAAAAGTTCAATCCTTTGAATCAAAGGGCTATATAGAAAAATTTCCTATAGGATTTCAATCATATGAAATTCCTTCATAATTCCTGATTCAAAGGGGCCCTTATAACATGAAACGAAGGGAGTATCTACAAAGCAATGGCTACGAGGTTAGTACACTAAAACATTTTGCCACTAGTAAAAAGTACACCACTACATGGATTATACTAAGGCCCCATTTGATTCAAAGGAAATTCATAGGAATTTTATTCCTATAGGAATTTTTCCTACAAAGCCCTTTGAATCAAAGGAATGAACCCTATGGAATCCTATGAAATTCCTATAAAATGCCTTTTTCCATATAAGTTTTGGAGGAATTTTAACAAGAGGTAGAACCTCATGGAAGAAATTCGATGAGTCTTTATCTCTTCTCAAATTCCTATGTTTTTCCTGTGGTCTAATCAAACGGTCATTCCTACGTTTTTCCTGTGTTTTGCAATCCTCTGTTTTACGGTCATTCCTGTCAGAATCCTATGTTTTTCCTATTCCTCTGTTTTTTTATTCCTGTAATTCAAAGGAGCCCTAAACCGTAAACTACTAGCATAACAGATAATATACGAGTACTGTATGGTATAGGTGAGAAAACAAGCCAAAGCGCGAATGCGCGATGGCTAGTACGGGGTAGTTAGTAGGCCTCTTGCATACGTCTGTGCTGAGGTCGATCGTTCCCGAGTTTTTGGTGGCCGCCGCCGGCGATGACCGGCCGTCTCTCGCGTTGAACCGAACGTCAGGCTGACTCTTAGCCTGCAAGGAACACTGATGGCGCGCAAAATTCTTCCGCCGGTTAAAGATGTGGTCGTCAGAACCACTAGAAAGATTGTTAAGAAACACAGACGAATGATACCGTGCACAACCCGCGAATACAAAACTCATATCTTACCTCTATGAGAACTTTTAGAGATTTAGATCGATATTATATATATATCTTGAAGTTGATGATATCATCATATGCATCTCACTCTTCAGGCATGTACACAATCAATTTACGAGCAAGCTAATAAAGGAGATAAATATTGTGCTTTTATGGGAGACAGAGACTATTACATGACAACATAGCAGCAAAAAGTGACCTATATATATTTAAAGTTTAGAATGAGATTCGTTCAGAATTTTGAAAGTTTGACCATCAGCTTTATATTGACGCCAGTTTATGAAACCTAATAACAAGATTGTTAGAGTACTTTTCTACATAAATCTACTTAAACTCTTCTTTAGAAAAATTAAGTAGGTGAGAAAAACGACAAATATTTATAACAAGCGGGAGTAACTCTCAATCAAAATTTATACTCACTAATATAAACTGTGTATTTTATCTTCTAATTCCTGTCAACTTTTAGTCATAAACAAGTCCACAAAGAGTTTTTGTTCGGTTGGGTTTTTTCCGACAGAAGTGTCAGCAGGAAAGCTGTCGACCATACAGACTCCGCATTCAGCAACGAACAGAACTTCAAAACAAGTGATGCCAGAAAAGGGATTGAAGTAAAAACCAAACAACAGAAGATTGAAGTTACAAAACCAAATTGGAATGTCAGAGAACGAGTGTTTTTCCTTCGAAGCTTCAATAGCTCATGTGCAAAGAGTTTATGTACCCAGCAATAACAACCGCTATTCCAACCTTTTCGTGTTGATCTAAGAGTAACTAGTGAAGTAACTACTAAAACGTCGACGCACACACAAACATAGCAAGGGAAAGCGTGGAAATACAACACATAATCTCTTCAAACTTACAAAAATGTTTCATATCTAGAGTTTATCCTTTTTCGTGTAGTTAGTTTTTTCAGGTATGTCTTGTATGTTTGTATGTATGACTAATCTTGTGATTCTTAATTAATTGGCTATCATCAATCGCGTGCCTCTGTGCTGTAAGAGCGATTTGCATACTCCTGAACCATTGCTCGAAAAAGTGATGGCCTCCCCATCAACTTGGACGGCTCATCAAATTCCTTCACTAACCCTGAAAAAAAGGATACACACATACCAAGCTTGAATAGAAGTGCAAAATCAAATTATCAGCAAATTTCTCAGGATTTGTTTTTTATATTGCCATGCTTTTCTTTGGGGCTGGAAAAACATTCTGGTAATACTAGAAATAGTCACAGTGTAAATCCTCACCTGCATCCAACACTAGGACTCTATCACTGTCCATGACAGTCGGTATGCGGTGCGCAATGCTGATGATAGTGCAATCAGTGAACTCTTCTCGGATGATCCTCTGGATAGTCGCATCTGTCTGAGAATCAACGGAAGCTGTTGCCTCATCCATGAACAGGATCCGGCTGCGCTTCAGAATAACACGACCAAAGCAGAGGAGCTGCTTCTGTCCTACGCTCCAGTTCTCCCCCATGTCGGCAACTACAAAGAACAACATAAAAGCAAATATGTGCAACAGTAATTGCAGCTACAAAAACAAAAAATAAGTGTTGTTCAATTAAAAAGCATACCTAGTGCATCAAGTTTCTCTGGTTTTGTAGCTACTATATCTTTTAGTTGACAACGCTCAAGGGCCTGCAGAGGAATACATATGTTAGTCTCGACAGAAACAAAGAGTTGCAATAGAAAAATCCACACATTGAAACATACAGAAGCTGTAACCAAACTTTTGTACCTGCCATATCTCGTCCTCAGAATATCGCCCAATTGGGTCGATGTTGCTTCTTATGGTTCCTTCAAAGAGCACAGGCTCTTGAGGAATCACACCAAAGCGCGACCTGAGATCATGAAGGCCCAAAGTGCCAATATCTACTCCATCAACGATGATATGCCCTTCTACAGGCTCCACAAGCCTGAACAAAGCCTGAACTAAAGTTGACTTTCCGCTGCCAGTCCTTCCCACAACTCCTATCTTTTCTCCGCTGTTAATGCTAATAGTAATGCCCTTCAAGATTAGAGGTGTGTTTGATCGATACCTAACCTGAAAAGAATAGTATTGATATGGATCACTTCTATAGTTCTATTAATCGCAGTGTACAAAAAGGAAGTTCAATGAAGGAACATAAAATTTCTCACCTTTAGATCTTTAACGTCAATATCTCCTCTTCTAGGCCAATTTGGTGAGGGAAGACAATCTGCCACTTCCCATGCTGCCTCAGAAGGAAGAGTACTGTACTGATTCACCCTTTCCACAGCGACCATGTCATTTTCTATCATACAGGTCATTGAAATTGTATAGTACACCAGTGAATTGAGAGATAGACCATACGAAAGGGACATGCCGACAAACTCTACATCAGAAACAGTACAAATCAATGAAGTGATCTTTGAAGGTCACAAAGGATTAAACTGATAACATATATTAGCAAGTCTTTTAATATAATTGATCATTTAGAGACTGCTGTATTTTATCCTCTACCATACAAACAAGTAGCTACCGTTCTGCGAAAATATGGAAGTTTGCATCTAACATAAATTTGCGCTTGATCTTTGCTAATGACACAGAACTATCCATAAAGCGCTATATCTCAAATTTAGACATCTATAGATTCACAACTCATGCTATCCCATTCTACCCAGTGATAAATTCACTAAGAATCATTCGTTTATTTCTATATCTTCCAGATGATGACTGGTATACTTTCTAATATAACTACTATGCTTAGGACAAGACTCTATTTTCCTTAACAGTTCAAAATTGTGTTCAAGGGAACAAGCCAATTTATACGTAAGATGTAGACAACATAACATCAGGAGTCAACAATTCGAGTCTCTTCTACCAAATGGGACCCGTATAAATACTTGGTGCAACAATATTTTAAGAATACCTTTCTTGATGAAATTGCTAGGCAAGCTGATCATAAGAAAAGCAGTTATAGACAGTAGAAGTGTGCCAATCAACTCCAGGCGAAAACCCAGCCACTCATTAGCTCCATAATTATGAAAAGACATGCGCAAATTCGAATTGATTCTGTCCAAGTTTATTTGGTAAAACTCATCCTCCTTCCCAAAGCACCTTACAGTTGGAGCACCCAAAAAGGTTTCTGAGAAGTGATCAATAACAGGTGCCCTTGTTACTCCTTGAAGACGAGTTAACTCTCGAGATGTTGCGATGTAACGATTCTGAAAAACATGAAGAAATGAAAGCAATCAAATTTATTATTATAATTCAATTATGGCTGTTATATGATGCTAAGTAGTACAAAAAATGATTTCAGTTCTCTGATATGCATGGTTGTAGCTGGATCATACCCGGTACCAAATGTTTAAAAGCACTAGTGGAAGTACTGCTATGACTGACGGCCATGCAACCTGGCAGGTAACAGCAATGCTGCTCACCACGGAAATGCACATTGATGTAGCAAAACCAACATAGAATACAAGGGCAGTGTCAATTTTCATTTGGTCTGCTGATGCCTGAAAAAATAAAGCAGCAATAGTTCAGAAAATGATTGTGCACGTGCTGTGAAACAAATTAAATTCTACTCCTACACAAGACATACCCGGCTTAGTATTCTCCCAGAAGGAGTGGTGTCAAAAAATGACATTGGTGCCCGTAGAATGCTGTCAAACATCTTGTTAAAGAAGACCTGGGCTGACTTAAACCCCAAGAATGTCACGAAAAGAGTACTGATCGCATCACATACAATTGAAGCAGCAACTATCGAAACGTAAACACCAAGAAAAACAGAAGTGTCAAATATTGTGCCCCCAGATGTTTCATATGAGAGCCAGTAGTTACTAGCCATACTGGAGCCTTCCGACAGAACTGATACAGCTAAAATGACCAGAACTCCCCACCAACCCCAAGCTTCTGTTATGTATAGCTTGTACACTTGCCAACTTACTCGGCCACTCTCCTTTTCCTCTTCCTCGATCAGTTTAGATGAACCTGCTTCTTTGCTTGGTGCAACACTGGTACCTCCATTTTCATTACTAGAATTGGACTTGACAGGAGATTTTGCTGGTACGGTGGTGTCCTGAGAATACTCAGTGGTCTGATCATGGGACATTTGCTCTGCTGCCCCTGGAACCTCCATTGAACTATGGTGAGCAGTAACAAGAACTGAAAAATCTGAGCATGATGTTAGTAGCTGGTTGTAGCTCCCAGACTGAATGACTACCCCATCTTTCATTACCTGCTCAAACAAGTTAATATTGTTTAATTTGTATTATGTGTAAATGATATCAGACCATGGTGCATTTGTCATCATATCATAAACTTGGCATATGCTGATACCTAAACTAAACTTAGAAAAAAACGCAAAGAAAAATAATTCTTGTCCCTACTCCTAGAATAAAAAACAAAGCCAGTGCTACAGTGCTACTGGTATTGCTCAATATGGCTAAACGATTCATAATATGTCAGAGTTCATTTCTGCAGCAAAAACATATTTACTACTCTATTTCCTCCAAATGTAACAAGTACAGTTTGAGAATAGAACTTACGAATACTGTATCCACATTCTTTAAGAAATCCACTTGGTGAGTCACAAGCAAAACTGTCTTCTTCTTGAGTATACCTTTCAGACATTCCTGCAGAAAAAAAGGTAACCATTAGAGTACTACTTAAAAACTGGGTTGACACTACCTACAGTCCATACTTGTTTTCAGAATTTTCTTTCGAGACATCATAGTAATAAGAAAACCATTGGAAAGCAATTAATATTGGAAAATTAAGTAGGTCACTAGTCTTTTTTTTTTGAGGGGAAACTAGTCCATTTGGTTGTAAACTGAATTTCACATCATCAACCTTTGTAGCCATTCCTACTAAAAAATTACAGGTTTTTGTAATACAAGGTTCCTTTTAGTTTACCATAACAAATGAATAAATAAAATATGGAACAAAGTTTCTTGAAACAGAAAGGAAAACGAAAGAGCGCTAAAATTTTCCTTCGCTTTCTTCTAGACGAATCCAACAGAAAAAGGAAAATTGATAAATAGGTAAACTAAATGGGATCTGAATTATGCAAATATAAAATCATATTGGTAAGGAAAACTCTAAAAGCATTTTAATCAATATTTTTTTAATATTCCGTTTATGTAGAAAAACAGAAAGATGCCGTGAGGGCTTGATTCACAGCATGATAACTACCATGCCGAAAGCCAGATGGCATTGCTTGATGTTGAAATTTATTTTATAATTTACAAGAATGACTTTTCCTCTTATCTTTCAAAGAATTCGACCTTCCATATTTGATCTTTCCTCATTTATTTTACCTTTCGGCTTTCACTAGACATCCTGTAAATCTTCATTACAAGTTCCTTCCCCAAGTTCATTTTCACTTGTGGTTATTTTGCATTTGTTCTGAATTTAAATCAACTCAATGAAATAGCTAAACACCACAAGAACACAAAAGAAATAAATGTGAATTTACCTTGAAGATAGCTGAACCAGTATGAGCATCAACTGCACTAAAGATATCATCAAGCAGATATATATCACAATCTTGATAAACTGCCCTAGCAAGCTGGATGCGTTGTTTCTGGCCACCACTGAGGTTGATCCCCCTCTCTCCTATTTCAGTCTTGTCTCCAAACTCCATCATTTCTAAATCTTTCTCTAAGCAACAAGCATGTATGACTTCCCTGTACCTCTCTGAATGCATTGGTTGTCCAAATAAAATGTTCTCTTGAATGGTTCCATTTTGGATCCAAGCTGTCTGAGCAACACAAGCTGTGCTCCCACATATGCTAACCTGTATCAAATACGAAACGATAACACAGTTATTATCAGATAAAAAGTAGGAAAATAACTTGGAAAAGGTAGCGACAGAAAAAAAAAACGAAAATAGCTTGAAGAAATTGGCAACAACTGGTATGCTAATAGATAAGCATATGTAATGAGCTCAGTCGCAATATTCAGAATTATTGATGCATGAATGCCATACTGGTATTTTATTCTGAATAGTACATAAGTATGGTCTCAACATTTAGATTTATTGATATACTACTTCTGATAAGATCAGCTACAAAGTATGCAAAGTGCGAAGAAAGAGTCTCACAAAAAATGGTGTGAATAAATGAATCACATCAAAACTACCATCTGGGACGATAGATAAGTAAAACATAGGAATTCAAGATGCAAGGAGGGGAAGGCATGAGACCTCAAGTTTGTTTTAATCCAGATATCTATGGAGAACGGACTGTGTATAGTGACGGAAACTGACAGCAGCCAGTTTGAATCAATGGTGGCTAGTGGGTCTGCTGTGGCTAGCAAGAGGAACTGAAAGTGAAATGGACAACATATGTGGAGATTGATGGCAACCGGTGTGAATCGACGGTGGCCAACAAGGTTGCTGCCGTTAGCAAGAGGAACAGATAGACAACGGACGGTGCAAATCAGTGGTGGATGATGCAGATTGGTGGTGGACAGCAAAGGGGATTGACCGTGTGGTTTCCCTTGTTCGATGCCTGTTTGACAAGCTCACCTTCAGCCTTTTTCCAGAGGGTAGTTTGTTCATAATTAACAGAGATAGACACCCCTCAAGTGTGCAGTTGTGCACAAGTGGCACATAAAGGAACAGTGCAAATCTTCAATGATATTAAAGTGTTCTTTCAACTTTTAGTGATGCAAATCTAAAATCACATGACAATTTCTCCAATGGCTGAATACAAAGAATCCCAAACAAGGAAGGCCAAACGCAAATTGAGTGAACCAGGCAGGTTTATGTCAAACTAATTTCTGGGGAAATAATCCCACAATCTGCCGTGAGCTTACCAAAAAAGGAGCTAAACTAAAGAATCTTATATACAGAATTTAAGGAACAAATAGCTTTTACATCAGCTGGATTTTATTGGCTTCAATAAAACTGTCAAGAGAGATTTGAATTATTTTGTTGTGATAGTAAACACTTGAATTCACATTTTCTTATCAGAATAGAATGTTAATTATTCCTTAATCACATGCCAAGAATTTGATATATGTACACTCACCGTGCCGGAAACCTTGTGCATTTCTCCCATAATGCAGGACAGCAGTGACGACTTGCCAGAGCCCACTGTCCCAACCACCGCAGCTAGCTCACCCTTCCTCACCTCCACCTCAATCCCCTTCAGCACCATCTCCATCTCTGGCCCCTCCTCTCGGCCATTCTCCGTACCATGGCCCTGCCGGGCATCCTCTGCACCTTCAACTGGCACATCCCAAGCAAACACTCCATTCTGTACTTTCACCGCTGCTGCATCACCGGCGCTACTAGCAATGCGCTCCACAGCCGTGCTGTCAATCTCGGCATCAGACAGGAACTTGTTCAGCCTGCCAAGTGACACAAACGCTTGCATACACATCACGATCGTCTGCGGGAAGTTGTGCATAGGCCCCTCGAGCATTGAGAAGAACGCGGTGGCCGTGAACACCTTCCCGGCATCTAGCTCTCCTCCGGTGGCGAGGTAGGTCCCAAAGACCAGCACAGTCATGGCGAGTGGGCCGCTGGAGAACACGACATTGTTGGCGCACATGAAGAGTACAATCTTGGTCAACCACCCCATCTCAGTCTGCCTGAGTTCTCGCACCTTGCCACCGAATTTCTCCTCCCAGGCCTGCAGCTTGATGACACGCATGTGGTTCAGCATCTCGGTGATGGCCTTGATGCGGCTGTCGCGGACGCCGAGGAACTTGAGCTGGTAGGCCAAGTTGAGCTTGTTGGCGAACGCGGTGATCACGGTGACCGCGGTGATCACGGCAAGCGTCATGAGCACGGAGGGGCCGAGGTAGGCGTACAGCAGGACAAGCGCCACCACGATCTGCAGCGGCATCAGCCAAAGGCCGTGGAGACCGTGCATGGCGTAGGACACCGTCCCGGCGTCCACCTGCATGTAGTTGACGATGGCGCCCGAGCCGTGCGCGCGGCGCGCGCCGGTGGACAGACGCAGCGACTTGCGGTACAGCGCCGTGAGCAGCGCGCCGCGGATGCGCATCCCCAGCAGCTGCCCCTGGAAGTTGTAGTGGTGCGAGGCCAGCGTCTGCACCGCCTTGCCGGCGACGAGGATGGCGACAAGCCGGAGGCCCTCCCACGTCGTGCCGCCATGGCTGATGAAGTCGACGAAATGGTTGATGAGCGACGGGCCAACGTACATGGCGGCGAGGCGCACAAGGCCGAGCGCCGCCGTCAATAGGACGCGCGGCCAGAAGGACAGCCACAGCGCGACGCCCACCGGGTAGCGCGACCCCTGCGCCGGCCAGTTGGACACGAACCGAGCGTACGACGCCTCGGCGCGGTGGGCCGGCGACACCGGCGGGACGTCTTCGGCGGCGAGCGAGTCGCTGGCGTACCCCTTGGAGACCAGTGGATTGATCCAACTGAACGTCGCGCGCGACAGCCACGACGCCGCGTCGTACGGCGTAGAGGGCTCCGCCGCGGTGGTGACGTCAGCGGGTTCGCGTTCGCACGTACCTGCGACCTCGCCGGATGAGGCGGTGATGGCTACATACACCAGAGGCAGCGAGAGGGCGAGGCCGGCGAAGGCGAGGGGGTCGTCGGGGAAAAGCAGCGAATCCTCGGCCCAGCGGACCGCGGCCGAAGCGGAGAAGAGCGCGCCGACGAGGGCCGTCACGACCCAAAACACGCGGAGCTGCAGAGGGAGGGCGCCACCGGCCGCTCCCCTCCGCGACGCGATGGTCCACGCCGCCACGGCGTGCGCGACGAAGTGGACGGCGAGGAAGGCGGATTCCCAAACCCTCCATACCGTGTTCGGCAGGAGGAACAACGCGAGCGCGAGGAGGATGGCCGACGCCGCCGCGAACACCCCCGACGCCCCGAGCGCGACCGCGACCCGGAAAGGCCTTCCCGACGCCCGAGGCTTCGGCAGAAGCGCCTCCCGTTCGGGACCATCCCCAGCGCCGCCACCGCCGCCGCGGGGAAGGGCGAGGACGACGAGGGACGCGACGACGAAGACGAGGTCGACGGCGCCGAGGAGCGCGCGCTGCGGGCAGGGCGAGAGGAAGAGGAAGGCGAGCAGGTCGGGGAAGGAACCACCTGACGGCGGCGAGCACGCCGTGGTGGCCATCCACCCCGGGAGGAGGAGAGCCATGTCGACTCGGTCTCAGTGTCGCTCGCCGTCGGCGAACATTTGGGTTTGGGCGGAGACGCGCAATGGCGGCGGACGGCAAGTCCGGTGCGAGTCCGGGAAAAAAAAAGGTTTAATCTGGAGGAAGATGGTCCCCACTTCGGCCACTCCTTTGACTGCTAGTGCTAACACCACAAAAGATTGTATATCAATCTAAAATACAGAAATACCGTAGAATGTTATACTGTTTCAACCGAATAGCACGAGGTATCATGGTAACATGATGACGTGAACATGGTATTTAGATGCCAGATCTAATTCTTATGGGGTTCATATCTAGCATTGTAGGTACCAGATCTGATACGTATAGTATCATATTGACGTCAGTATGATACCTAAATATCAGATATGATACGTACGGGGTATCATGTTTGGTATCGAATGTATTAGATCTAATACCTATAGGATTCATGCCGATGTGAGTTATTCCGTCGAAACGATAATACCGTTACGTAGTCTCCCTTTATGAAATAAGATCTTCTCTTTTTCTCTACAATATCGGTAGTTGTTAAAATTTAAATTCTAAAATTTTGATTTTCAAGTTTTTTTTATCAAAATTTATTTTTCAACATTGGTATTTAAATCGCTAAGAATACACACATAAATGTGTTATCCATATTTGGTTAAACGATGGGGCCTAAAACACACGACAAATATATGTTGAAACAATTTGCTATATAGCTCTTATAATAAAGAGAGAAAGAATAAATGAAGAGGAGAACTTTTATATTGTGTTGTTAGTGATTTAAATGTTAATGCCAAAAAAACTATGATAAAAAACCTTAAAATTAAATTTAGTAGTAAGATTTAAATTTTGACTACGGCTGGTAAAAGCAACGATCAAATGACGGGTGGTTTTAAAAACAAGTACACCTTGAACCAGGTAATCTTATTTTTATTATATCTTGAATCACGCTACTCTTATTTTTATTATATCGAATCACGCTGACTCTTTTTTTTAAGGCAAATTTTGCTACAAGGCACACAAAATTTGTACAATTTGCTGATATACATCGCAAAAACATCTCACGGCTAAAAGACATCTCTAAAACTGATAATTTGCTGGAGGACAATTTCGACTCAATTGGAACAATAAATTCTTCAAAAGAATGAGAATGACTCTAGGGTGAAAAGCTTTTGAGCTAAGGCTTGAGTGAAGATGGAATACGATGTATACTAGTGATCTATTTGGGGTGATGGCTAATTTAGAATTGCATAATTTCTAAGTCTTCACTCTATCACTATGTTTGAAGCATGTGTTCCTAGGGGCATTATCTTTTTTCCTAAGAATTTATCTTTACAATTGAGTCGCAAGTGTCCTCTAGCAAATTATTAGTCTTTTAGGATGGCTTTCAATCGTGACATGCTTTTACAATTTCTATAAGCAAATTACACAAATTTTAGGTGTCCTATAGCAAAATTTGCCATTTTCTTAAGTATATGAATGATCTTAAGTATTTCGGTTTTTACTTGGCAATGAACTCACATGGTTGTGTGTACAATAAATTGAATGTAGATAGATAAAAGAGCATATAGCTGTCCAAAAGAGCTAGAAAAGTAAAATTATCTAGTTTTTTTAAAACTAGTGGGTTCGCCCTGCGAGTTCGCTGGCTTTGGCTTCAGTGCTCATTGCATCCCTACTGGGCTGGCCTTAAGGCCCCCGTTGAGCGGAGTGTCTCCGACATGTTTGCTGCGTCACATTCTTCGTGTCAAGAGATGGTGAATCAACTCTCTTCTGGACTGACCAGTGGATCGACGGTCGCCTGGTGGCCTCCTTGGCTCAAGACCTCCTCGTCGTCGTGCCCTCGCGTCTCCGGGGTTCACGCACAATTGGTTCTGGCGTCGCAAACAATTCCTGGGTTAGTGATATCCGCGGCGCCCTCATTGTTCTGGTCATCTCCTAGTTCCTTCTTATTTGGGATGCAGTACTTCCTACCCACCTCTCGCCGGGCGTAGAGCCGTAGAGGACGTCTTGTTTGGCAATGGACGAGCGACCAGCGTTACTCGGTGCACTCAGCTTACCAGGCGTTCTTCCTTGGCCAGCACTCCTTTGCGTATGCCAATCTGCTCTGGCACGTGAAGGGCCCTGCTAAATGCAAATTCTTCCTCTGGTTTGGTTTTCAATAGCGCTGCTGGATGGCTGATCTTCTCCAGAAGCGTGGTATCAATAGCCACTCAGCCTGCCCCTTTTGCCCTCATGATCTTGAGACGGCGAACCACATCCCCCTTGACTGTGTGTTCGCTCGATAGGTCTGGCACCACGTGTTGTTGCCCGCTGGCTAGGCTGCCCTCTTTCCCCCATGGCAGCTGGCTTTAGGACTGGTGGCCGTCTTCTAGGGCCTGCTTACTTGAGCATCTTCAGCCAGCTTCGACTCCCTAGTCCTCTTGGTCTCTTGGTAGCTGTGGAAGTAATGAAACTCTAGGGTTTTTGACTCTACGCTCTCTTCGGTCTCAGTGGTTCTGGAGTCCATTCTCTCGGAAGGCCATCTGTGATCTTCCGCTGGCATTGCTATTTTTGAGGGCTTCTTGGGAGTGTAGTGTGGCTCTGCCCTTCTCCCACTAATTAGAGTTGCGTTTGGCCGCCTGAATAGTTTTTCTTTTTCATAGCTTCAGTTTTTGTTTTTCTTCCTTCTCCTGGATAGGCATGTCTCACTGGTTGCGTTGTGTATCAAAAACTCTTTTCCTTCTAATATATTCACATGCAATCCTTTTATGTATTCGCGAAAAAAATATTGATCAAAACAAAACATAGGTAATAAAAAGTTGTCCAAAGTGAAACTCAAACCTCATAAAATACTTAAAAATATACCAATATTTTAGTTGTGCTACCCCACTAAATTTCACACCAATATTTTCTTTGATTGGACGAAATACACAACAAAATACTATATTATCTTTGATTGGACGAAGTACTCCTCCCATCCCATAAGAAACCAACCTAATACCAGATGTAACATATCCTAGTACTACGAATCTAGATATACATCTATCTAGATTTATAGTACTAGAATGTGTTGCATCCAATCCTAAATTTGTATTTTTTTTTACAAAGGGAGTACCAATGTTAGATTTTTTTTTATATATATACGAAGGGAGCACACGAGAATACAACAAAATGTACTATTCAAATTAAAGTGTTCTTTTCTGGACTGCTTAGAGCAAGTTTAATAGTATAGCTAACTATTGACTTCAAATTATCTATAGTCAATTTATACAATAGTTATAAACATGTACTACATAATTAATGTCTGGTCCCACCTGTCATACACATATGCATCTTGGAATCTGTAGCCCGTTGCTTTATCTCTTCTCTTTTATCTCCTTAAAATATGTTTATAGCTGGCTTATATGGAGAACTAGCCAAGAGTTATTTTGAGAGCTATTTTTTAGCACAAGATAATAGCTCTCCAATAAAATAGCCCTAAGTTGTTTGGATCCCAGGGTTATTTTGAGAGCTATTTGGCCTTTAATGTACCTTCCTATAGAGAGAGATAGAGAGAAAATACACTTTTTCAGTGGCCCCACCCGAAATAGCCCCAATTAGCACCCCTTGGGTGGGATAGTTTTTGGGGTGGGTTATTTCCAAATAGCCCTCGAATAGCTCACCCTTTTGATCTTTTTGGGTTATTTTGTTGGAAATATGGTCATGAATTGGCATATTTTAATCCAAAATGTTAAGACAATAATCATGGCATAAGCAGTGTAGGGTGATCTGAACATAACCAGTAGCATACTAAAGACATCATGCGCATCACCATGAATATCAAGAACAGAAACATAGCGCACAAACATGCTAGAGGCATCATGAATATTAGGAACAGGAACATAGCGCACAAACATGCTAGAGGCATCATGAACATCAGGAACAGGAACAAAGCAGTAGAGCGCTAATAGCAGGAACAGAAGAAGGAGAAGGATATACCCCGAGAAAGGCCCTCCGCTGGATTGTGAGGCAGAATTGCCTCCGTTGGTGTTGTTGTTCGCCGCACCACCTCCGGCTCCTGGCACGCCACCTCCGGCTCCAGGTGCGCCATCTCCTCCAGCAGCAGCAGCGGCACCGGCGGCAGCTCCGGCTCCAGGCGCAGACATGGCGAGGACGAGCAGTCGTGCGGGAAGCACTCCCCAAAAACCTGATCACCCGCCTACCCGGTGCAGATCTCAGGCGAAGCCTTCCAATCTCTCGTGCGCGCAAGAGATCAGATCTCTCGTGCGCGCAAGAGATCAGAAGCGAGGAAGCGAGAGCAGCACAGGCGCGGAGGAGGAGGAACTAACACCGGAAAAGAAGCAAGCGATTAGAACGGATCGGACTCGCGGCCTCCTTATTTATCAGGAGAGAGGCAGTCGTGGGAACGTGGACGCGCTGTTGCGGGGCAGTCGTGGGAACGTGGGTTAGTGGCTGCAAAAGAGTAGCGACGTGACGCACGCCGCCAGCCAGCCACGCCACGCCTCGCCTCGCCCACGCCCTCGGCCTCGGCCCGGCCCGCGCGCGCGCGTGTGGCTTTCCGACCCCCATCTCAACCAGTCAACAGGGAGTCTCTAATAACAACCTATTTAGGTTGAGATATTCCTCGCTTAAATCCTGAGGTGGTATTATTATCCTTAACACTTATTATGGGCCTTTGAGATTTAATAGGATAAGTTGGGCCTAGCCCAATTATTCTAACAATCCCCACCAAATTTCAAGGCTCGTAAGAAATGTTGTGCCTGTTTGATATATCAGGGTTTTGGTGGAGACTGTTAAGTTGAACTTCCACCTAGGAAATGAGCTACATCAGACCACAACTGAACAATGGACTATGCCTTGAATTGTCAGTTTTGTGTGATCAGGTTTCACTCAGAACCTTGACTAGTACTGGGCTACCGTTCGCATCCCCTCTGTTTGAAGCATATAAGTCAAACTCCGGGCCTTTCATGAGTATCTAGAGATCGCCCAAACCTCACAGACTGTGACTAGCAGTCGAACTCATATAGGTGTGTTCCTTCTAAGATGTTCTGCAGGTCAACATCTCTGCTTAGAAAAGCCACTCGGATCACATTAAGGCATGAGCCATCCTACCATGCAGGAAAGAAGAGAAGCACA